CTGCCAAATAAATAAATAAAATCTTTAAAATCAAGAAAGAGGGGCACCTGGGTGGCTCAGGAGGCATCTGCCTTTGGCTTAGGTCATGTTTCTCCCTCTGTCCCTCCACGCCTCCCCCCTGCTCATATTCTCTCTCACTCTCTTGCTTGCCCATGCTCTCTCACAAATAAGTAAATAATGTCTTTAAAAAACAAAAAATAAAAACAAGAAAGATCTGAAGTCAACAATCTAATTAAACTTAACTAGAAAAAAGAAAAAAAGAACTGAAGCCAAAGCTAGCAGAAGGAAGGAAATAGTAAAGAGCATAGCACAGATAAATGAATTGAGAATTGAAAGACAACAGGGAAAAACCAATGGAACCAGAAGCTGGTTCTCTGAAAAGATGAATAATATTGACAAACTTTTAGCCGGATGGACTAAGGGAAAAAGAAGACTCAAATGCCTAAACTCAGAAATGAAAGTGGGGACATTACCACTGATTCTACGGAAATGAACGAGATTTTAAGAGTACTATGAAAAATTGTATGCTAACAAATTGGATAACCTCGATGAAATGGAAAAACTCCTAGAAACACAAAACCTATAGAGACTAAATCACGAACAATCTGAATTACTATAACTTACTATAACTACTAAGAAGATTAAATCAGTAATCAAAAATCACCCAACGAAGAAAAGCCCAGGACCTGAAGACTTCCCTGGTGAATTCTACCAAACATTTAAAGAACTACTACCAGTACTTCTCAAATTTTTCCAGAATATTTAAGAGGGGGGAATGCTTCCCAACTTGTTCTATGAAGCTAGCATAACAATGACATCAAAGCCAGACAAAGATATTACAAGGTAACTACAGACCAATATCCCTTTTGAACATGGATGCAAAAATCCTCAGCAAAATACAAGCAAACAGAACTGAGCAGCATTTTAAAAGGATTACACACCATAACCAAAGGGGATTTATTCTTGGAGTACCAGAACGATCGATGTAATACACCACATGAACAATATGAAGGGGAAAAAACCCCACATGATCACCTCAATCAATGCAGAAAAAGCATCTGACAAAATTCAATACCCTTTCATGATACAAACACTCAATAAAATAGGAAGGAAACTACTTCCCCATAATAAAAGCTATATATAGAAAACCCAAAGCAAACATAATAGTGAATGGTGAAACACTGAAAACGTTTCCTTTAAGTTCAGGAACAAGACAAGGACGCCCACTCTCACCACTTCTATCTAGCACAATATTGGAAGTCCTAGTCAGAGCCATGAGGCAGCAAAATAAGTAGCATTCATATCGGAAGAAAAGAAGTAAAACCATCTGTCTGCGGAGACTATGACCTTACATATAGAAAATCCTGGCATCCACAAAGAAACTGTTGGAGTAAATGAATTCAGCAGAGGAAGAGGATACAAAGTCAGTATACACAAAAAAAGATGCATTTCTAGGGGCGCCTGGGTGGCTTAGTGGGTTAAGCCTCTGCCTTCGGCTCAGGTCATGATCTCAGGGTCCTGGGATCGAGTTCCGCATCGGGCTCTCTGCTCAGCGGGGAGCCTGCTTCCCTCTCTCTCTCTCTCTCTCTCTCTCTCTGCCTGCCTCTCCGTCTACTT